TTTCTTTCTCTTATTGTTTTTGATCAAACACCATTCGTTCTGCAATAACATTTATAAAATAATTATTGACGATTTACCATAGATAATCTGGTTTTTAATAGATAAATATGCGTGTTTATGTCTATGTATTCTTTTATTTTTTTTTATAAAATGTATTTACTCCGTTTCTTCTAATATTCAGAAGGAATGGTACTTGCAAGAACATAGTAGTTGGCTATAATATAATTAGTGATAGACTATAACCGCAACAAAGGGGAAAATTCTTTTCACACATGTTTAATAATGATGTTTTTCAAATAAACAAGATAGTACATTTTTTTTTTTGTCTAAATATGACTTCACAGTACTATATGGAACATCAACAGCCAAAAATTACCATTATTTGTTAAAACAAGTGTGTAAAAAAAATACAATAATTCTAGTGTTAACACATATCAAAAACGAAAGTATAGACAATATTAAAACAAAGTTTTGTCCATTGATGTGGATACATCGTCAATACAATGTGATCGAAATAATAACAATTATCGATTTAGCATCTTACTTAGAATCGTATGATGCATAAATCTATCAATAATGATCTATTGAAGGTATTCAATGTGACAGCTGCTCATTTGTCTACGCGTATATAGTTATGGTTCAATTAAATATAGTTTACAGTAAAAATAGTTCAGTTCACGATAATAATTACAAAACAAAGGAACAAATTAGATTTTATATCAACATATACAAAGAGTAATTGTTGAATATGCGAAATCTATAGAAAATATTATACAAATAAAAAGTAACATTTGCTATCACAGCATTCACTTCTAATTTTCTCTACGGTTTTTTCATCCCTTAAAAAATTGACTTTCATGTTAATAAAGTGTATGTACTATAATGATTATACCATTGAGATTTAGAACTTTAGCGCATTATATTCTATAGGATACTTTCAAAATAATATGTATCACTCAATTTTACGCTAAATTAAATAATATTATTGAGTTACAAATCCAGAAATAGTAAAATTTTTCCGTTTCAATATTCTAACTAGGAACAATATTATAAACTTAGAATTTCTTGTTTCTTTAAAAGATGTCCCAAAAGTTACCAACGTATCAAGATGATCATCTATCAATACTTCTCACATAGCTAATTATTTTGCTGTGTTCTCGCCGACAAGAACACATTTTGTCGAAAACCACTGATGAGATCTCTAATCATTATCCTATAGAGTTTCATGTAATTCGACTATATTAGTCTTTTTTTTTCTTGAATATCACAAAAAAAATATTTAGCTTATCTCCATCAAAACATTTTGTGTACGTTGATGAACTAGATGATTTATGTTCATTCATCATCATGGCATAGTGGAGAGAGAAGAATAAGAACGAAATGTTTCTGTCATCATTTTAAATATAAAAGTACATAGACACATATCCACCACGATGACCTTCTTTTTATTTTCTTCTTTTTTATTGTGTATGTAGTGACTAAACTGAGACTCTTTCTCCCACATCTATATTGTTCAATCGCGTACATAATAGAACTGCGACAAAAATCGTTTCTTTTCCTTTTAAAAGAAATTTTATTCTTTCTCACGTGTTGTTTTCCGTTATATAGTGTGAAATATATGAAACAGTGTTTTTTTCTTTTCTGTGCATGTTTCCGCTCGTTGCCTTTATACACAAATTTACTGAAAAATAACGTGAAGAGAGGAGAACGAAGAATTCTTCGTTCTCTGTTTGCCTTGCGTTCACAGTGTCTTTTTGTGTAAAGAGAACGATTGGAGAACATACGCACAGAAAAGGAAAATAGCGTGTTTCATATATTTCACACTATATAACAGAGAAAAAACGTTAGAAAGAAAAAAATTTCATTTCAATAGAAAAGAAATGATTTTTGTCGCAGTTCTAATATTAAGTAGTTTCTTTTTCTCTTTCTATTGTCGCGTACTATTCATAGATATATATATATATATATATACACACGAGTTGATTTGTACACATTGATGAAACAACCGCACCCCATGCTATGATCAACATTGACGCGCACATGGTACCATCATCAAGCTCAATGTTCAATTTGCGGTAAAAATACTTCTATTTTTTTTTACAGAACATATTTTGGCTGACTTCTTCTTTCACCACAACCAGTCGTGTCGAGAAGAAGAGAAAGGAAAAAAATTCATACTTGATTAAAACACAGCGATTTTTCTTTTCTTTCCGCGTGTGCAAGTTCATTTTGCCTTTTGTCTCATCTAGAATAACTACACGATGTAGATAGTAGTCTAGATATACTTTTGGCTGTTCTTTCTTTTTTCGCGAATCGTTCAACACGACTAAAAACGAAGAAGAAAAGTGACTGAAACGTCAAAAGAATGTAGTGTGCTTGTACAAAAAAAAAAGAGAAAGAACTTTTTTTTTGAAAACTAATCCTTTTGTGTATCTAATAATCAATAAAAAAAAATAAAAAAAAGCATTGTACTCAATATCATCATCTTCTATACATTGGAACAAAAAGTAGGACAATTTTCTTGTTTGTCCTAGAGCTAGGATAGTTTTGTACGTCACATTTTTTATTTGTGTTATTTTTTATAACTGATTGCTGATAATCAGCTTTCAAGTGTCATTGCTATCAACGATACTGGGTAAATACTAGACTTGTACGAGTAACTCCTATTAGACTGGAAATACTCTGACCTTGAAAAATATTATTCCATTATTGAAATGCAAATTTCGATAGTATTCTAGAGAGAAAATGTTTTCTGATTGTTGTCTCTTTACACAACTCTTTTTCATAAGATAGAGCGCTATGAGCAATGTAGTCAAATTGTTTTATCAGTTGAGACCTAGATCATTTATTTGATTATATCATAGTGTTCATACATAATATATGGAAGATAGTGATGAATTTTCATTGAGAAAAGGTTGTATTTTTCAGATGTTTTAAGTTTTTCAACTGACACGATTTTTTTCAAGCTGATAGCAGTAAGAGAGTATTATCAAACTGTATATTGACTGTCTCTTAGTGGTTACTCGTAGTGATAAAAAGGATTCTTCGATCATGACACTTATTGTTGTTATTTTTATCACATTTATTAGTGTAGTTGATCTATCACTAAATTTAAAACTTTGAATAGTCAGTAATTAATTTGTTCTAAAAAATATCATGTTGATTGATTTATGAGTTTTGTTAATATTTCGTAATAACGTACTAGTTGTCATTTCTTGTTCAGAGAATAATTTTAGAAAATATTGATTAAATGTTATTACTATCAAAAGTTGATTTCACTTAATATAGCAAATGATGAATAAAATGATGTTTTATCCATTTAAACTGTCCATATAATAAACATATGAAGAAAGTGACATTACTGATATTAGGTTATGCGAAAATTTCTGTGAACATTAAAAAGTCTATGTTTATTTTGTTTGATATACCGACTCTTTCGCTCTCGATCTTTCGTTCATATTTTTAATAGCTCAATAAATTGTATCGATAACAGATTGATATGTCTGCATATAGAAAAACGACTAATAAACAAGAAAACAAAATATCAAGTGCTCATCGTACGTAGGAACTATTATTGATGTCTAAAGTTAACACATCTGGTAGCTCTTCCGTTTCTTTTTTTTTCGTGATTTGTTTTTCTCTATGATAGATAATATCTGCAAAGAACGGTTTGACTCGGAGTGTTTAATTATAGATATAGGGATAAAGACAAAAGAGAGTTTATACTGCGGACACTGTAAGTTGTTCCATATATATATATTTATGTTCGATGTCTAATATAAATTGGATTTTTTCTCTTTCTTTTTTCTTCTTCTTCTTCTTTTTGAACATCACACTGTACAAAAGCGTTCAAAACAAAAAGAACATTCGTCCTTCTATTCAATTTTTTTTCTGTATACTTTCTCTCTCTCTTTCTCTCGCTCTCTCTTTAACCTACAAAAAATTGATCAATTTTTTTTGCCATGGCTCAATTTAGTACCATCATCATCATCATAAAAACTGGTTTACTCTGTGGAAAAGAGAGAAGAAAAAAATAAAATTTTGAACATATGCGATATGTACAGGGATTAATACGCACATACATACAGACAATGTTCTCGTGTTTCTCTTTCTCTCTCTTCTTCTAATGCACTTATTTCTTCTTCTTTCCTGTAGACTATATATGTGGCGCATATCTTTATGAGCGTGTTTTTGAACTATATGTATATAGTAAACGCGTTGTCTGTTACTCGAAAAAACTTTTTTTTTTGTTGAACTCATGCACAACAAGTAACTTTACAAGGGAGGTAAAATGCTAGATTATTTTGATAAGCGAGAGTCTCAAGTGACTCATGTAAAGTTCTTTAATCAGAGTGAAGACTTATGTACGTTTGTCGTTGAAATTTAGAAATCGTTAGATTTTGACCTCAAGATTTTTGTTTAAAAGGTATAGTGATGGACCTACAAACCTTCTAATACTCGAATAATATCATGAGCTAAGTCAACTTGAATCATTTCCACCGAATCAATTTCTTATGATAGAGCAACTCTAAATACTGCTATTTATGTCCAATAGCAATATTGTTTAACATAAATGACATTTCTTGAAAGCAATAAAAACATAAAATTGCCTCTTTCTTCTCAGCGATTCTATAACATTTCAACATATTTTTATCTGATATTTTTAGCCATCTCGATCGTCTCTCCCTCTCTCTAAATAAACCCCCGTCCACATTAGAAGCCCAGTGGGCTTCTATTATATTCCACAAGAAAGACAAAATTTTCTCAAAAAGTATCCTATGGGGGTAGGGGTAATTTTCAAAAATTTCTTGCCAGAATGGGCTTCTAATGCGGGTGGGCTTCTAATGTGAGGGGAGGTTTACCTATTTATTTATACTATTTCCAGTGAAAATCATGTTATAAGCGGTTATAGTTTCAACTATTAAAGATGTGTTTTAGCAAATCTTATAGATTTTAATTTTATATTTTCTTTTTCTAGATAAAATGGTATAGATTAAAAAATGTTTGGTTTATTACATCTCCTAACATTTTTAACGTTATCGGCAACGGCAAAACTAGTCACTAAAACGACCGATCTCTTGTTAGTATTACCTGAATCAGCCAAATATGGTTATGTATTATTTGAAGTCGGTGATCGATCAGAAAATGATTATAGAAAATGTCAAAAAACTGCTGTAAATCATTCATTGATTATCGATAAATATGGTGATCTTATATTAGGAAAACAATTAGAACAAAAACCACTGAGCAACGAATTATTTTGTCGAATAGACGGAAATCAGGTACGAAAAAATTATGAAATTATCTGTGATAGTTAAGAGACACGATTTTTCTAGTTTTTGACAATTGTGCACTGCTAAAGATGCCAGATACATAAGATTTAGATTACAAACGTCGTTTTGATTTCGAAAAATTCAATTCTAGTTTTAACGATTGATCACACAGATAATTAAAATAAGATAACCCTTAAATGAAGAATCTTTTGCAAAAAAACCTATTATTTTCTTTTCTACCAATGAAACAAATTCAAGGCATCTATTGAATCTCATGCTCATGGGGTGAAGTTGTCAATGTCGTTAGATTTATCAAAGTTTTAAATTATTGAGCAGAAGAGAAGCATTACAATTCTACCGTTCACTCGACGAGTTACTTTAACTAAAGTTTCCTGTAGATTTGATTGCATTTCTAGTCATCATATGGTTTTTTTTATGATAGAGGATGTTCTTTCATTAACTCCATTGATGTTTTATTGAGAGCGAGAGAGAGTATATATCCGCTTTTGAAACAGATAACTTCAACATGTTCTAAAGGTCAAATCGTTGACTTTTTTTTTTTATTGTATTGAGATTATTTCCGTAATGAATTGCGCAATACAGCGCGTTCAGGGACAGCGTAAATTCAAAAATATTGTGTATGTTTGACAGTTAACTTCGATGAGTTCGACAAACGACTACATGCAATTTTTTTCCAGTGCAATTTTATGTGTGCGTGCCATATGGTTTAGTCGTTTATATTTATGTTTTTTGTTTGCAGTAATCTATGTATATATATATATATATATATAAGTTACTAGTATATCGTATTGACCAAAATAGTAGAAATGGTGTTATAATAGAAATTACTTTTTAACTTTTATTTTTGCTATTGACTTTTTCGGAAAAATTAGGAGAGGTACAAACTATAGTAGATGAATTCTAGTGATATTTGTACCGTTTTAAAGAAAAAAATCAACCAAATGAAAGTGACCGGAGAAATATACGTTTTCATATATACTCTATTAAATGGCGTGCTTAAAAAATTGTTTCTGACAAGTTTTAAGTTTGAGTCTTTAGAAATCCATGTTTTCCAGAAACTATTTGCCAAATCAATTTTCCAAAAACTGAGTCGGCCATTTCCTTTAGGATGTCAGAATAGGTATAATCTGAAAATTTGAGATTTTATGTGTTAGCTGTTACGATTTCGGAGATGAGTTTGGGAGTGGGACATCAGGAGAAGCTTAAATGAAATCAGGACAATTGAGTGTTCCATCGTAGGCCTGGCCAATAAACTATCGCTCATGCAAAGATGGAAGAGTCTAGACAATCGTGGTTTTTGCCAATGGACAGAGTACATGATTCTGTATACTTCAAGCAAATAACTACGTGAATGACTGCTTGCTAACTAACATAACTGCGTATTCAAAACGGAATGGGACACGGTTTTTCACTTTTCGACGACCACAAATTTCATCGAAGTTTCCACAGAAACTAAAACGGCAGATCGATAAAGCAGATAAAATACTGCACAAAAACAAAAAAAGGTTTTGTTTCGCTCACCTTAAGAGACGAAAAATGTTAATTAAGAAAAAAGAACGTGCAGAAACCATCAAGAAAAGAAGAAAAAAAGAACTAAAAAACAAAGTGTTTGGCTTACAGTGCACTAAGGAAATAAGATAGAAGAGAGATTTTAGCAGGGTATATACAATAAAGTGTGGGGAATAAAATGGGATAAGTTTCTTAAAGTTTGGTTTAGTATTAACAAAGAATCAGGCAGATCCATGAGCTCAGGTCGAACGGTACACAAATCACCAGAATCACTCATATTCATTTAAGTATACACAATTCCAGATTCTTATAAAAAGGTTACAAGAAGGTGACATAGTAGACAACGTCATATTCTACTGATTTTTAGCTGATTTGGATCGATGATAAAACGTGGGATACTAGGAAAAACTGTACACATTATATTCACTTGGTTTTTAAAAATTTCAATTCCTTTGTGAAAAAGATGACGCGGGAACTTTAGTTTAAGCTTTATTAATTCCTACAAAAGAAAATCTTACACATCATCCAAATCTAGTTCGACGAGCCATTACATACGTTGGATGTGTACTCCTAAGATGTTACCAAAATCATTCCATCGAGAACATATAAATAATATAAAAGATATAAGTTAGAGGAAGGAGAAAAAGGAGAAGTATGCAGAGCATAAAAAGAAAATAATTTGACAGTTTACTACTAGTGCTTTTAAAAATCTTTCGTAAAGTGAAGCAAAATCAGTTAATTTTAGAGTCTATACTCAGCTTTTATGTCTCTTTGTTGTGCTGCCTAGTGTTTCTGTTATATCGCGATCAGAAAAAACATGCGACAATATTTAAATATATTTCTCGTTCTACTATGAAGATGTATAGAAAATTTTTCAATGACATATTCGAATATAACTCGCCTAATGTCTCAGAGACGTTAATACAAATAGTAACTTCCATTGTAGCACCGTTTGTATAATCTCGACGCACAAAAAAAAAGAAAAGAGGATAAAGAAACAAACTCTCTCAATGTATATACAAACTAGTTTTAAAGAGAAGCAGGGCAAATATAATTGAGTAAAGTGTTCATCAGGGTTAATCTGTTCATTTTTGATGTCGTTAACAAAACAAAAAAAAAAAGTCTAATGGAAAACAAATGTTGTTACAAGCAGTCACAGACATACAATTTGTGATGCAACAATACGTTTAGTTTTAACATTATACTTACAGTAGTAGTAGTAAAGTAAATCTCTTGTATAATGGCCCAAATTACACAATTTATACAATTTCAATAATAGTGAACTTTCTTGTGTGAGACAAATAGAATAGAATAAAAGCGTGAACGGTTTTTCAATAACAAAGAGAGTAAAAAGACTCTAATTTCTCAGTTATTTCAATGAATATCCCCGATATAAAAACTGACGTTTTCTTGTTGAATCAGAGTTATGGAATCAAATCTTATTGTGTGAAGCTTGATGAATCTGTTGTTAGTCTGAAGTCTTAGTATAAAACTTGTAATATGGCTAAGATGAATGTAACGTAGTACTTACTTGATTTCCGCTTATTTAAGCGTCTGAGTAATCCTCTAAATGCTCATATTTTACAGAAATTATCAATAATTGTCTGTTAAAATTGTATCGTACATTTTCAAGAAAAATACCTTTTTTTGCTTTATTGTTATTTTTAGTCTATCCTCAACGTCTATTATTCGGTAATATCTCTATCTTCTTATTTTGGTTTTGATTCGCCTGTTTATCATTTATACCAAAATGAACATGAACCACAATATTCTCAATTAGACGTTGAATATTTTTCAACAATTAAATGTTTACACAGTAACAATGATGAAAAAACTAAACACGAACCAATTGTCTATGATTTGGTTGATCATACATCTCGTACACAATTATTTGGTATTACCTACAATAGTAGAATAGATGATTCGATTAAATTAATAAATATGAAAACATTTGATTATGATGATATTGGTGAGAATAGAAAACATATATTAATTATTCGAGCAACAAGTAGTAAAACAAAAATAGAATCATATGCAAAATTAATTGTACATATTTTAAATCAAAATGAAAATTCTCCACGTTTACAACAGGAACAATTTTTATCATTTGTTCAATTTAATTTGAAAGACGATCAACAATCAAATTCAATTATTGGTCAGATAAAAGCATATGATTTGGATGAAAACGATCATTTTGAATATCAGTTTGTTACAAATCAAACAAATGGAAATACAACTGGTCCTTTTTCAATTAATTCACAAACGGGTGAAATTCAAATAATTAATCGTAATTTATTAGACTTTAATGTTCTATTCTATCATTTGTATGTTATCATTATCGATGAATCAATGAATAAAAGTCCAATTATTGATGTTTATATCTATTTGCCACGAAACAAGCAACATAAACAATCATCATCCATGGAAACGACAATAAGAGAGGTACTTTGTGGGAATGTTAGACTTCTCATAGGTTACGGCTTGAATATAGAACAATATTATAAAGTACTAAAAATAAACTACAGAATCGATTTGTTTTCGATTTTTCTGCTTGATCGTAACAGCTAGATAAAATCTAAAAAAAGACTTGAAAACCTGAAACAGTGTCCAATTGGGAACAGTGTGTATACAAATATTATCCACATTGAGTGATAAAATGCTGAGTCTCCGAAAAATTAAAACCTCTACAACCAAGTACCTTGACTTTGTTTCCCAATACTTTAACAAACATGAAATTGCTGTATTTAGTTCACAATATGTTATGAAGGCATATTTTTGTCATTCTGCTGATGGTAAAAGTATCCAGAAACAAAGTCAAGTTTTTTTTTTCTGTGACTCAACATTTTATCGCTCAATGTGGATGAAATTTTTATACATACTACTCATCGTTGGACTGGTTTTCAAGTCTTTTTTTAAGATTTAATGTAGCTATTATGATCGAGAAGAAAAATTGAAAACAAATTAGTTCTATAGTTTATTTTTAATATTGTATTGCCAACTTGCAGTATTATTTGATGATTTTACCTTCATTTTGTTTTATGCTTATTTTCTAGTCAAATGGAAAATCGATCCATCGTCATCGTCGTCAACAACAATCTCAACCAGCACCAAGTCGTTTACAATTACGTTTTAATGAAAGTTTTACGGGTATTCTCTATCATATTAAATATTGTCGAAAACAAACAAATGAAGATTATATTGAAAAAACGTTTACATTTCCACAAAAATATGAACAATATTTAAATGAACGTTTAACAGTTGATAATGATGGACAATTGATTATTTTAAAACGTTTTAATTATGAATATTTTCAATCAGTTAATTTTCAATTTCATTGTCTTATTACTGAACGTCAACAAATGACACGTGTTAATAAATCCGAAGAAATATATATACAAATTGATGATGTCAATGATGAATTACCAAAATGGATTATGGATGAACCATATCAATTTGGAACATACTATGGATATGTGGAGAAAACAGCGCGACCAGAAACACCCGTATTTCGATTTAAAGCGCAAGATGTTGATACACAATCACGTTTAACATATGAAATTGAAGAAATTCTACCGAAATCAGTAGCAAGTCAACAATTATTTCATATATCACAAGATGGAACATTGACAACGCATAGTAATCAACAATTATCAGGTAAGAGGAGAATTACATTTATCAAACGGTTTTAAACATAACATCTACCTCCTCGTCAGAAACTGATTTCGATAAGCACAAGACTGATATGAATCAAAGTTTCAGGAAATATTAGCTCTGTCGGAGTATAGTTATGATAAGTTTTTCGAAGTGCCATCTACCATTCCGTTTAGGAGATGTCACTCGAACATGAGTTAAAATGGGATTGTTAAAATATTTCATATTTCTTATTTCTCATATTCCAATACAATAATTTCAGCTTGAAATTATAATTAGAACTGAATATAAACGGTGTTGGGTTTTTCCGTAGGATTTCCATAAAATTTGCTAAAACATCACCAAAAATCTTTCCTTTGGAGATAATAGTCATTCAACTTTCGCTTTATTCAGGCATACGTTTTTTGCAAAATCCATTTATAATTGACCATAATTGACGTTTCTGACGTGAGAATGGTGGGATTGAAGAGGCTTAATTCTAAGTGAAAGTAACACCAGCTGATGATATTTCAAGATCATCACTCATTCTGGTATTAACTAAGTCCGATCTTGTTTACTGTCAATGATCGAACAAAACTTAGTGTTGCACTCGATCTCGTATAGTCATAAACAAAAATATGATGGCAAAAAAAGTCTGAGAAAACATCTCTCGATACTAGAAAATATCAAATATTTCAGGTACTTACAATATAACGGTGAAAGCAATTGATGTAAATACAAATCCGTTATATAACTATAATCGATTTATTCGTACGTATCTATTGGTTAGTACTGATCGTGTTGATCCGAAATTTTATCAACAAAAATATGTGTTTAATGTGTCAGAATATACTCAACCGTCAACAATTGTTGGTTCAATAAAAGCCAAATCTTATTCAACAACACAAGATAATTTACGCTATTTTCTACAGCCAGTAATTAGTATTCATTCCGATAATTATGAATTTAAAATTGATGAAACAATTGGTACAATTAAAATTTTAAAACTTTTACGATACAGTGATCAACATAATAATAATACAAAACATTTTCATGGTATTGTTAAAGAATTAAATGGTTGGCAATTGGATGCTCGTGTTGACATTGAAATTCATATTATCGATATTAATGACAAAACTCCTACGTTTAAACAAACATATTATACACCACAAATATCAGAAGATTATCCACTCAATACACCGATTATTAATTTTACTGTTACAGATGATGATGCAAGAAATTCACAAAATTCTAACATTACATTGGATCTTGTAGATTCATATGGAAAATTTTCAATTTATTATGATCCAATATCAACGCCAAATAATATTCAAGCCTATTTAATAGCAAAAGAACGTCTTGATTATGAATCATTATCACCACTTGATCGTCAATATAAATTAAGAATAATTGCGAGAGATAATGGTCAACCAAAATCATTACAAAGTGAAGCTCAAATTTATATTACTGTGACGGATGTGAATGATGAACCACCAATTTTCAAAGATAATCCAATACAAAAGACAATTGCTGAAAATACACAAAAAGGTACATAATGTCGAGTTTTAGTTATATTATTATTATTTTTTTTAACTATTTTACTGAATTTTTAGGTACAACAATTGTATTTGTCGATGTACATGATACAGAATATAATGATAGTGTTACAGTTCAATTTCAAACACAACAAAATAATCCATTTCGAATAATAACGAGTCCGGGTGGTGGACGAGTAATTCTTGATGGTCAATTACAAGAAGAATTTTATAATTTAACAATTCTTGCTTATGATCGTTTAAATCATACGAGTCAAGCTCAATTATTAATAACAGTGTACGATGTCAATGATCATACACCTGAAATTGAAAATTGTCAACAAGGAATTATTACTAGTAAAGTGAAAGAAAATGCTACAATTAATACACCAATATTGAAAATAAATGCAACGGATAAAGATCGTGGACTCAATGGTGAAATTTTATTTTCATTAAAAGGTGGCGGTGGTAGTGGAGCAAATGGTGAGAATGATGGATCTAATTCAGGAACAGAATCTGATTTGTTTGCTATTGATTCTGAAACGGGTTTAATTTACAATAAAAAACGTTTAAAACATTTAAAAAGTGGTTATAGTGAGTATACTATGACTGTCTTTGCACAAGATAAAGATCCACAAAATCCAAGATCAACACATTGTATCATTAAAATTAATGTTGAAGATATTAATGATCAGTATGTATTTATCTGTTTTTTCATTCTTACATAGTATTAATCATTATTATTTATTTCTAGTTATCCGATTATAACATCACCATCACGTGATAATGATTTAATATCAATTAAAGTTGAAAAACGTATTAATTATCTAAATTATGCTGTATTAACAATACGAGCAAAAGATGATGATAGTGGTAAAAATGCACAATTATCATTTTCAATTAAATCAAAACCAGAATGTGCTACTAGTGAAACACATTTTACCATTGATTCATCGTCTGGTATTATATCAATACGTCCATCAAAATTGGGTGATATATTTCAAACACAAAATAAATATTGTCTCGTCATTCAAGTATGTGATCAAGGTGATGATCCAAAATGTGTAGAACGAAAAGTTAACTTTCAATTATCTCAAGATGGTTTTGAACCACCCGTTTGGGCACCCGAAACTGCGCTCACATTTCAACGAGTAATGAAAGTTGTTGAATTAGCACAACAAAAGTATGTATTAAAAGTTTAATAAATAATTATAAAAATATTATTTCTTCTGTTTTTATTTAGTATTGTTATTGATACATTTAAAGCATCAATTAGTAATGATTCAACAAAAAAAGTAATATTTGAAATGGAACCCGTTGATTGGAAATGTCATAATAGTCCAATAACAAATGAAGCACCACGTATACCATTTCTATTAGCACCCGATGAAAATGGTCGAAATATTGCACGTCTCGTTATTTATCAACCAATTGATGCTGATCCACCAACGGGTTGTACTCATTTTACATTCAAAATTAAGGCAAAAAATAGTGCCATGGAAGCATTATCTGTTGAAAGTTTATATAAGATTGAAATAATTGATTCAAATGATAATATACCAATATTTAATGTTAGTTCATATAGAGCACAAATATACGAAAATGAAGTAAAAGAAAATATTTTGAGAGTACAAGCAGATGATAAAGATATTGATCCAAAAAATAGAAATACAACATATTTTATTAGGTAAAAAATTATTCATTTTTTTGTGTTAAATAAAATAAACTATTTTGATCTATTTTCTTTTTAAAGGTGTCAAAATAATGCTGGTGGTAGTCAATCTAGTCAAGTATCATATTATTCAAATAATCCGGTATCAAATTCACTTTCATGTCAAGGTATTGTGTCGATTGATCCTGAAACTGGTTGGATTAGTGTTCAACGTCAGTTTGATTTTGATAATCCAAACGATAGACGTTATGTATTCGATGTATTTGCCAAAAATATTTTACCATCGGATCGATGTAATTCAAATAATAAAGAATCACAACAACAACAACAAGCAAATGGTGCTGATTCTAATCCAACAATACAAATATGTGTCACTGAACATCGTGTACCTGTTATCATTGAAGTTCTTGAGTAAGTCATTTATTTAGCTTAATTATAACTATTATAATTATCTTCTAACATTTTTGAATATTCTAGTCGAAACGATAATGCACCAGTTTTTCAAGGTAAATGATCATCCACTTTAATAACGTACAAAATTGTTAGATAATTTGTTATTTTTTTTAGGTCAACCATATTTAACCAATGTATCTGAAGATGCTGAACCGGGAACAACAATTTTTCAGTTGAATGTTAGCGATGTAGATACAGATGATATTTTAACATTTAATATTGTAAATGTTCAAGAAGCATCAGCATTTGCTGTCAAAGAAAATACGGGTGAAGTCTATTTGGCTAGTGGTTTAGATTATGAACGTGTACAACAACATCGTGTCATCATTCAAGTTAGCGATAGTAATAATGAACATACAAATCAAGCTGAATTAACTGTTATTGTTGAAGAGTAAGTTTTTTTTTATTATTTTATTCATATTTTATTTGAATATTTTGTTTTAATAGTGCGAATGATAATCCACCACGATTTCTCAATTTACCAGCAACAATTGAAATTGAAGAAGGAAAACAAGTTGTTGATTATGATCAATTAATGAAACAACAACAACAAAATGGAAATTCATATTCAGATGAAAATTATGAAAGTCCATTGTATCGAAGATTGAAACGTCGTAGAAGAAGACGAGCTACAAATTCAAGAAAATATAACAAGCAAAATGAAGCAAAACCTTCACTTAGAAAACCAACAAAACCAACGGAAAATACACTGTAGTAAGTATTTTGAACGTGAGATTTGTATTTGGATATTAATTTTTAATTTGTGTACTATTTTTTTTAGTGATGTCGACCGTTATCGTGCAACATCATCGTCGTCTAATAGTTATCAACGATCAAATGAATATAACTCTCGTGTGATATATACCGTAAAAGCAGAAGATCCCGATAAAGGTCGTCCGGCAAGTGTTGGTGGCATTAAATTTACATTAACATCGTCGAATCAACAATATACAGATTATTTTGAAATTCATCCAACGAATGGTACAATACATTTAAAAAAAGAATTGGATCGTGATCCACCCAACGGATTCGATGAATGGTTATTGACAATTATCGCTGCTGATGAGGGTGGATTAGAAGGATCAAAAAAGAATGCATCATGGCTAAAAATTATGGTGAAAGAGTAAGTCTAATTAGAATCGATTAGTGGATAAACTCTAATGTAATATGATTTTTAACTATATTTTAGTATTAACGATAATCCACCAATTTTTATTGATGTTGATCCAATTGGACATATTGCTGAGAATGCGAAAAAAGATACACGTGTCGAGGGTTAGTATTGATAATTTAATTTAGTAAACATAAACGTGTTAATTTAATTGATCGATTGAGAGAAAAAAAATTCTCCGTATCTGCGAGTTATTCATCGTGTCTAATAAAATCTACCGTTTCGATCCCTGATAAATTAAAGTATAACGCGAGATGATGAAAATATTTAAGGTAGTTTGATAATCGACAGATAACTCAGTTCACCGTTCATTATTTGAAATAAATTATCATTCATTGAGAAAATGTTACCACTAAAAAAATAAAACATTAATTTATTTGTTATTGCTAAGCATTCACGCTTCTCTCTACAGAGGAAACACTTGTTAGAGTAGTTATATAGTCATACTGCTGACAGAACTTTATTTTAAATGAAACTTGGTCACGTTAAATTTCAATAACTATTTGAAACGGATATAGAAGAGTAGGTTATTGAAAGTTGTCGATTTTCTAATTAAAAAAAAGAGTAAGTATAGAATGACTCGACAAATGGAGTGGGATTAAACTCATACACGAGTATTATATCTTGTAATATCGTTGTTGATGCCATTTGTTTTAAAACTTAAAGATAATAAGACGAAGCAATCACCTGAGACTTTTTACTCATGAAAGATATATTTGTTAGCAAGTTCTGAGTAGTAAAAATCTTTATCTACATTAATGTAATTGCTCAGGGTAACAATTCTCTCAAATGTATCAGAATGAGAAGATTTATCGAAAGTTTCTATTTAGAATGATTTTTCTCGATCACCAATGACAACCGAAGAATCATTGTTCTTTAATAACGTTGTTAGAAGAAAAATATGAAACAGATATATTATATCTAGATGTATAATCCTCAGTACTAGATATAATCCTCAGTACGATGTTTAACCTTTGGGAAGTTGAATATCGCCGTCGGTTTCAATATCTAACTTTTGTTACTTGTTAACGGAGCTGTTTTAAAAAAACAGATTTCACTCTATATACGCTGTCTAACAAGACAATCTCCCCAGATGTAACACTCTATTTCCAATAATTTATGTGCCGATCGATAGAGGATAGTGAGCTAATAGAAGTCCTACAAGGATTTGGGCTCATGATACTTCTTTCAAAATTATGAATTTATTTTTGTTTGTCTGTACACGGGAACCTACTCTTACTAAAAATTCTGTAGCTTAGTCACAACAGCTAATTAGGAACTGAAATTTTTTTCCATCACTATGCTAGATATCTATTATTATCACAGAAAGTTTCTCTCTGAAAAACAAAAAAAGCTTTTCTTGGTGGTAGGCCTCTACACGGTGGGAGAGAGACAACGGTCTCCCTGCTGATGCTGTTCATCAGGATGATCGGCCAACATCCCACCACAAGTCTGGACGGCCCTAAAGGAAAACTTAAAAGAATCTCTTTTGGCTATAGACGTTAATGGCTATGAACGCAGACGTCTATCAAAATGCAATGCGATTTGTCTTCTGTTCCTAATTAGCTGTTGTGACTAAGCTACAGAATTTTTAGTAAGAGTAGGTTCCC